ACCTCAACTGTATTTGGTGATTGTGTATTGAGTGGTTAGGTGTTGGTGATTGAGAGTTCATTCCTCATTCACTTCTCTTAGTCACTTAGCCGTTACCAAGCACATCACCATGTCTCCGGTAAAGTCTCAATCCTTAGAGAGGATCACGGTTAACTTTTATCCATCATACTCTTTCGCTCAAGCCAACCAGATCTCAATATTGTGTTCCATGTTTCCAGGGTTAAGGTGGATATCCCGACAAAGAGAACCGTCAAACGGCTCTTTCAAATCGTCATAGGAGAGTCGAAGAGATAGAACAGTTTTGTAGCCTTCGTTCCTTCTGAATTGATCCAGAGGGTCGATGTGGTAGAAGGAAAAATTCCGCGTCGGTCGAAATAACACATTGGCGTACCCCAGGTAGAGGTTCATCATGGACACCTCACCTCGCGTGCCCCGGGTGTCCGTTTGCCTTTGGTAAAGGCATTAAAAGCAGCAGAAGCCTTGACGGAGGTCTCTTTCGATGGCCTTGGTGTTGGGAATGTTGTAGACCTTCCATGGTTTCAGATAACATCCTTGACGGACATTCGCGCAAAGGAAGGTCGTTCTAGGATGTTCACACAAATACTCTCTGTGTCTCCTCATCTCAAAACGTCGCACTTCGAAAATAGTCCATGCTGAATTGAAATCGCTCACTACCTCTTCCAGCTTTATGTTGAAAATGTAGAATGTCCTCAGTTGATATCTTTGACCGCCACTCGTTCGTTACCGCATATCGACCGGGACATCAAAGAGCTGATCACTCTTCTCAATGCTCTCTCCGACTTCTGCATATCGATAACTCCGATATGAACACCCAATTTCGGAGTATCCTTGCTTCTACGCCGGAACTTGTCCAACTGGAATTTTGCTTTACGAAATGGAGCCCATCAATGGCCCAAGGCCTGACCACATTTATCCTCCGTACGGAAACAGTGAATGAAAGCCGCCGTCAGAAGACCTCCCATACATTACGGATCACTGGGATGCGCGATTCGACCAGGAAGATCATCTACGGATATATGTGTAAAAAATATACAGAGAATTGTAGAAACATTTGCAGTGAATCAGCATATTTTAACCTCATATTATTGTATGTTTGAGTGTCAGAATTGGTAATTTTGCTGCAGAGGTTCTCCTTTCAGTATCTTTGTGACTGTCATGACTTCGGAAACTGTCGCGCGACCCGCCCAACACAGTCTCCTTTTATGGTGTGAACATTACCCGTGTTCTTCTTTAACGTTCTTTCACCTCGACTCTCGCCATCGCCACGTCGCATCGCATTCTGAGACACTGAATTTTTTCTACCTGATACACTTGCTGGCCTTGCTAGTCTGGAATTTTCAACAATTCTCTCTGCATCCCAGACGCGAATCTTTTCACACCGATGGAGCGAGGAGTGACATGTTTATCCTGCTTCGGAAAGGGTTACTTGCCGCCTAGTAAGATGTCGTTTCTTCTCAATTGTACCGTCGAGTGCTGATGACGTGCCAGAAAGTATAGAAACCAGTGCTGCGGAGATCCGCATGCACATCAACGACAACGAGCACCGCATCCGTCTTCTGAAATCAGAGTGCATCACGCTTAGGAAAAAAAATGAAGAACTTGGTCGAAATCTCGCTTGTTTATTATCTCCTCCCGATGCGACGCCCAACAACCGTTTTCCACCTGAAGTGCTAAGCGAAATATTCGGGATGGCGTTAGACGGCGAATCTTTCAATGCGTCAGATACAGAGAAGGGTCCTTGGGCGCTCAGCCATGTATGCCATTCATGGAGATCTGCGGCATGTGGTGATTCTACGCTCTGGACGTCTTTCCTCATCGGCGACAGCTCAGTCTGTGTTCCCTACTACTCGACAACCCCCTCGTCTATGCCTAAACCTCGGAAAGATCCTGTTTCTCTATTATCGACTGTGCTATCTCGTTCGAATCAACGCGATATCAGCGTTGCGTTCAATATCTCTAACAGCAAGGTCGATATCCAGACGAAGGCGACGATAAAAACGCTCCTACGGAACATCATCGAGCACTCGACGCGGTGGAAGGATATCAGCTTCTGCATGCCCTCTGAATTAGTCCTCATGCTGAATGACGTGGAAGGCAACGTCCCTCATCTGACGAAGCTACACGTCGCCTCATCTCGTTCCTCCACCGTTCCTTTACCTTCAATAACCGCTTTCAAGGCAGCGCCGGTCTTGAAGGAAGTTTCTTTCGAAGGAATTGGTGTCCACAAGTTCGCAGGTCTGCAATGGTCTCAGGTGACGTCCCTGACGGACATTCAGGAGGGCACGGGTAGCTGCAGAACATACACGGATATCTTATTTTCGGCTCCTCATCTTCGAACGTTGATCTTCAAATATCGTTCCGAAGGTCCTCTCCTGCAGAGCCAGGATCCCATTTTCCACCCCGGCTTGCAGTCCCTCACCGTCTGTTCCAGCATTTTCATGGAGGAAGTGCAGCTTCCGCACTTGACGAGCTTGACGGTGAGGCCTCGAATAGAAAATTACATCATCAATTATTCCATCAGCACGTTGATCGCTTCGTCTGGATGCTCGCTCCTATTTCTGCATGTGGACTTTCCTGTTATAGACATCGACTTTTTCGACATCCTTCGTTCTACACCGGAGCTCACTCATCTGAAACTTCATTATCCCCAGTGGCACTTCTCGAATGACGAAGCTCTTAACGATTTCGTGCTTGGTATGGACGAAACACTTTTTGACACTCTGGAGTACGAACTTTTGCCTGTGCTGGAGTCGCTAGAGATCACGATACAGGCAGACGAGGATCGGCTATCCCTGTCTACGTTTACCTTCCTCAATTCGTATTTTCTTGACATGGTTTTTGCGAGGTTGACGGTCGGCGCACTGCGGTCTATGAAGTTTGAGGCTGATACTGAAAGGTTGTTGGGGGATCTTGCCTTCAACGATATTATTCGGCTTAGAAAGATGAAGGACGAGGGGGTCAATATAAGTATTTGTACAACGTCGAGAGAGAGATGTTATGTCACTGGTCATTGGGATCCACGGTTTTTTCAGGAAGACCACCGTCGCGTTTACGTATGAAAGGAGTTACTTCTTTAGCTACTGAGTTTACTAGTTCTCACATGCGATGACGGAAATACCAATGTGTTTTACTTGCCTGCCCTACTACTCAGAACCTCGAAATGCCTGTAAATCTTGGCTGATAGTCGTATTTAGCTTCAAAATATGACGAGAAACTGGATTGCTAGTATGAGTCAGTCTGAGTATTACTGACAGTACGCGACGCGGGACCGAATCACGTGGGCGTGACATACCCGCGTTTCTATTTTCAAATTGCAATCCAACTCCTCCCATCCAACAGTGGATGATGGCCTGCGAAGTGCTGCACGTTTTTCTAGTTGGATCAAAAAAAAGTGATCTCATGTACGATCCTACCTAGCCTTGACATTTTGTGTGCTGGGCCGCAGACTTTTTTTTTTTACGTGCTTCACTGTGTTCCCCTCGTCTCGCAGCATCACTAATATTACCCGACTGCTTGGAGACTATCTTGGCGGCCTCCGGGTGGCGTACTGCTGGTGAGTCATTCCACGACGGCGCTGGATGATATAGGCGCTTGCGACTTGAGCGCCCTCCATGCGTGAGTCAGGTTGTTAAACAGCAGTGCCTTTCTCTTTCTGGATGACTCGCACGCTGTCTATCTAGCCGCCCGGTTGTTGTATGACTCGGTGCGGGGCTTCCTGTGTTGACTCAGGCGTGGTTTCTCATACTTAAAATGGGTGCGCCGTGGGCTTTTTTACGTCTACTTATGCCTTCGTACTCTCTTCAGTTACCGCAGCGATCCTGGGGACCGGGATGCTCCTGGTCGGCGGGCGAGATGTGCCTCGTCGTCTACATGGAGAATCGCCGGCAGATGATTGCCGCGTACCTGTGTCTCGTTTCGCGTATGTTCGCGTTTCCTTTCCTTGGGGGTTTTTTTTTCTGATTGTGATGTTAGATATTAGCAATGGCGCTAACGGCGTGAGTTGTATTTCGGCAATTTTGGATAGATCTGTAGTGTTGATGTGCTTTATCGATAGCCATTGAACCCGAATTTCTGGAAGCCTTGTGGGCTCTTGCGGTAGCGTTTGCTATCTAATGATGTACGGGCTCGCCTCTCGTATGGTCTTTTCGCGTGCTGATTCCCGTTCTAGCGCGAATCATCGCTACGACGTGTGTTGCTCACCCATCTCATGGTATTGTACTATCCATTGTATCCTTATTCATTGCTCCTGGAACGGACTGACGAATTCAGAATATTTTCATCCCTTACGTACATAGCATATCCTCATTCAAAGTGTAGTTTAGATCTCTTCCTTATTCATATATCTCCTTAAGTAGTTTACTATACACCTCCACGAACCGTCATTCTAACAAATGTCCTTCGCTCCGTGATTTTGAATATCTGAGAATTCCTGGTGACACAAAAAGATGTTCAAGGCGAGATTCGGCTCTTTGGGTACATGATGCGAAGAACCGAAATCAATGGCATAATGTTTGCAATGCTGGTCGGCACCGAACATACGGTGGTAGAGAAGTGGGATTTTGATTCCGAGTGATGCTATGTTAGATGAAAACGACTATTTATGGATCTGCCAGGTGCGTACCATGTCTTGGTACACGTTAATGTTGCGGCTTTGAGTACGTAAGCCTATGGTTTTTCAGCGGACAATTTTTCGGGTTACTAAATGAGCAGGGGATTTGCAAGGAATCTGGCCGCTGGCGGTTCGGTTGAAGAAAAGCGGCAGATGCCGCGGCATCTTCGGCTTCGTGACCAAATTCCATTTTTTCTCAGGCTCATTCTTGCTTCTTCACCATTACCATCCTACTCCATGGCCATGGCCCATGTAGTATCGGACGTTACTTCAGCGTTGTCCTCACATTATTTATGCCGTGTGACGATGCCGGAACTACCGTAATCGTATCAACAGTCATTTCCGACGTCGACCCAAGGTCCCCGCATCAACTTTTCGGGTGCCGGTATTATTCTGTGGCAAGCGGAATGGTTCGAGTAATGGTGCGTTAGTCATGACTTGTGCCTATAAGATAGGCCCTTTCATTGCTCAGCGAAGTGCAGTTTCCTCATTCCTTCTACTGTCGCACCATCAATGCATCAAGGACCATTTACGGACAGCAGGGACCAAAACAGTACGATATCCGGGAAGGCCGGCACTATGGTTCGCATAAACATTCCTGCTGTGCCGTACTATTCTTACCTTTGGATTGTAGCACATGCGTCTTCGCACTTCTCTCTCGGAGAATGAAAAAAAGTGCCCCGTGTCAACCCCATCCTGCTGCATTATTCGGCTGGCCAAGCCAAGTTATCGTCGGTGGCCTATCCTATAAAAGCATGGAAGGATTGCTCCATTCCAGCTTTCGGCCATGGAATCCTCTACTTTTATCTCCCGCCTGCCCATCAGTCTTTATGGCTATGTCCCAGAACAAACGGCCTGTATCATCTTTTTGGTCTTTTTCTCAGTTTCCACGGGTAAGTGCTCCTTCTCCTTCTCTTCTCTGATATTGATCTCTTCTCCAGCTTTTCATTTCGGCCAAGCGATCGTTTTGCGCCAACTATGGGTCTTTCATACTATCTTCCTGTGCGGCGTTGCCGAGATTGTAGGATGGAGCTGCCGGTTGTGGTCATACAACAATGTTTTTCTTCTGCGACCCTTCGAAGTCCAGTACGTTTTCTTATCCTTCTCCTGAGCAACAGGCTTTTCTGACTGTCTTTCGCTAGGTACTTCTGCCTCATGGTTGCGCCGATTTTCCTTTTTGCTGCCAACATCGTGATTTTCGTTCGGATTGTTCAGCGGTTGGGTCCATGGTACAGTCCCCTCAAGCCTCAGTACTGTCAGCTATACCTGTTTCTTCCCGGCGTATTGTTCATCTCATCTTTCGTCAGACCTGATTATATTCGCCATCTTTGTGAGTACTCTACCTCTTTGGGGTACCACCAATTTATTTTGACTTAACTCTTAGGCTGCGATTGCAGCGATCCTGATGATAGTCGGACTGGGTATCTCCCTCGCCGCCGTTCCACGCTTAAATTTGGACCAGGTCAACACAGTATGCGCTTCCGCCCCGCTACACAATCCCGCTATGTTGATAAAAATTAATAGGGTGTCAACGTCATTCTTGCTGGCGTTGCCATTCACTTGGGTCTGCCCTTCCTACTCCTCATATTACCTTCACTATTGAGCATTCTTATTAGCCGCCCTCGTCCTGTATTTCATCTTCTCCGTATTCTTCTTTATCCGACATTCCCTCGACTCGCCCAGTAGCGAAGCATTGGAAAGCTCTCAGGGAACAATCATTCCCCGTGCTCCATGGGACAAACAGGTCCTCGTATTGAGCGTGGTCCTGATGTTGGATATGTCCTGCATCTTTGTTCGGTAAGATACCTCTCGTACAAACCATGTGAATTCCAATATTAATCGGTGCTCGTAGCACGATATACAGAACCCTTGAGCTCAGCTATGGAATATTTGGGAGGTATATGGACACTGAGCGGTTTGTTGGTAGGGCCTCCACCTCCTCAGTCCCGTCCATATTGGTTAATAGCTGATTATAGTTGCCATGGATGCGGCGATGATGGTGGCGGCGATGGTTCTATGGAATCTCGTGCATCCAGCGCTATTTATGAAGCGGCGCATTGACAATGATACCGAATAGCCTATCCAACGATACCCTATCAGCAATGAAATATTGCTGACGAAGCATCTTACTGTCTTGGAAGTTAGCATTCTTATGCGCCCATAGTGTGAAGAAGCCTTGGTGCAGGGACTCGAGCAAATAAAGTGGCCCTTTTTGCGAGGAAAGTGAAGAAGTGGCTACAGGACCCTGAATGAACCACATCCGTTTGCGGTGCGAGGGTCTTCAGTTTTCAGATGATACTTGACCGCTCAAGACAACGCAATCCGACTGCATAATGTTGTCGTGCCCGATGATTGTTTGTCCCCTTTGACACAAATGTGCGACTGATGTTTTGTCTATGCTTGTGCCTCTTTGAGCCTTGGGTCGAAGATCATCCCATTGTTCAATATCCAATAAATATATATATAGGGTCCGAAGTCTCCTTCATCTTCATCTCCCTTATTTCAAGTATTACATCGATCAAATCACGTATTATCTGCTAGGTATCACCACGCTCTATTGTATATGAATGCTAATTACAATTAACAGTCTTACATTGACTGAACATCTCCAGAATCGCACGATCACATCCCTGTTAGTGCTCGACCCCTCCTTAATATAGACCATTCGATGCACCTCATCCTCATCTGATCGGCCTCGTTGGAACAAGGCGCCCCTTTCCTGGTTCGACGCCACTCCGTGGAAGAACTCATAATCACTCAAACTGGAAGTACCGACGATTCTCAGCGAGAGACATTAGTCGAGGCTCGAGGGCATGAGATGGGTGAGCAACACACGTCGTAGCGATGATTCGCGCTAGAACGGGAATCAGCACGCGAAAAGACCATACGAGAGGCGAGCCCGTACATCATTAGATAGCAAACGCTACCGCAAGAGCCCACAAGGCTTCCAGAAATTCGGGTTCAATGGCTATCGATAAAGCACATCAACACTACAGATCTATCCAAAATTGCCGAAATACAACTCACGCCGTTAGCGCCATTGCTAATATCTAACATCACAATCAGAAAAAAAAACCCCCAAGGAAAGGAAACGCGAACATACGCGAAACGAGACACAGGTACGCGGCAATCATCTGCCGGCGATTCTCCATGTAGACGACGAGGCACATCTCGCCCGCCGACCAGGAGCATCCCGGTCCCCAGGATCGCTGCGGTAACTGAAGAGAGTACGAAGGCATAAGTAGACGTAAAAAAGCCCACGGCGCACCCATTTTAAGTATGAGAAACCACGCCTGAGTCAACACAGGAAGCCCCGCACCGAGTCATACAACAACCGGGCGGCTAGATAGACAGCGTGCGAGTCATCCAGAAAGAGAAAGGCACTGCTGTTTAACAACCTGACTCACGCATGGAGGGCGCTCAAGTCGCAAGCGCCTATATCATCCAGCGCCGTCGTGGAATGACTCACCAGCAGTACGCCACCCGGAGGCCGCCAAGATAGTCTCCAAGCAGTCGGGTAATATTAGTGATGCTGCGAGACGAGGGGAACACAGTGAAGCACGTAAAAAAAAAAAGTCTGCGGCCCAGCACACAAAATGTCAAGGCTAGGTAGGATCGTACATGAGATCACTTTTTTTTGATCCAACTAGAAAAACGTGCAGCACTTCGCAGGCCATCATCCACTGTTGGATGGGAGGAGTTGGATTGCAATTTGAAAATAGAAACGCGGGTATGTCACGCCCACGTGATTCGGTCCCGCGTCGCGTACTGTCAGTAATACTCAGACTGACTCATACTAGCAATCCAGTTTCTCGTCATATTTTGAAGCTAAATACGACTATCAGCCAAGATTTACAGGCATTTCGAGGTTCTGAGTAGTAGGGCAGGCAAGTAAAACACATTGGTATTTCCGTCATCGCATGTGAGAACTAGTAAACTCAGTAGCTAAAGAAGTAACTCCTTTCATACGTAAACGCGACGGTGGTCTTCCTGAAAAAACCGTGGATCCCAATGACCAGTGACATAACATCTCTCTCTCGACGTTGTACAAATACTTATATTGACCCCCTCGTCCTTCATCTTTCTAAGCCGAATAATATCGTTGAAGGCAAGATCCCCCAACAACCTTTCAGTATCAGCCTCAAACTTCATAGACCGCAGTGCGCCGACCGTCAACCTCGCAAAAACCATGTCAAGAAAATACGAATTGAGGAAGGTAAACGTAGACAGGGATAGCCGATCCTCGTCTGCCTGTATCGTGATCTCTAGCGACTCCAGCACAGGCAAAAGTTCGTACTCCAGAGTGTCAAAAAGTGTTTCGTCCATACCAAGCACGAAATCGTTAAGAGCTTCGTCATTCGAGAAGTGCCACTGGGGATAATGAAGTTTCAGATGAGTGAGCTCCGGTGTAGAACGAAGGATGTCGAAAAAGTCGATGTCTATAACAGGAAAGTCCACATGCAGAAATAGGAGCGAGCATCCAGACGAAGCGATCAACGTGCTGATGGAATAATTGATGATGTAATTTTCTATTCGAGGCCTCACCGTCAAGCTCGTCAAGTGCGGAAGCTGCACTTCCTCCATGAAAATGCTGGAACAGACGGTGAGGGACTGCAAGCCGGGGTGGAAAATGGGATCCTGGCTCTGCAGGAGAGGACCTTCGGAACGATATTTGAAGATCAACGTTCGAAGATGAGGAGCCGAAAATAAGATATCCGTGTATGTTCTGCAGCTACCCGTGCCCTCCTGAATGTCCGTCAGGGACGTCACCTGAGACCATTGCAGACCTGCGAACTTGTGGACACCAATTCCTTCGAAAGAAACTTCCTTCAAGACCGGCGCTGCCTTGAAAGCGGTTATTGAAGGTAAAGGAACGGTGGAGGAACGAGATGAGGCGACGTGTAGCTTCGTCAGATGAGGGACGTTGCCTTCCACGTCATTCAGCATGAGGACTAATTCAGAGGGCATGCAGAAGCTGATATCCTTCCACCGCGTCGAGTGCTCGATGATGTTCCGTAGGAGCGTTTTTATCGTCGCCTTCGTCTGGATATCGACCTTGCTGTTAGAGATATTGAACGCAACGCTGATATCGCGTTGATTCGAACGAGATAGCACAGTCGATAATAGAGAAACAGGATCTTTCCGAGGTTTAGGCATAGACGAGGGGGTTGTCGAGTAGTAGGGAACACAGACTGAGCTGTCGCCGATGAGGAAAGACGTCCAGAGCGTAGAATCACCACATGCCGCAGATCTCCATGAATGGCATACATGGCTGAGCGCCCAAGGACCCTTCTCTGTATCTGACGCATTGAAAGATTCGCCGTCTAACGCCATCCCGAATATTTCGCTTAGCACTTCAGGTGGAAAACGGTTGTTGGGCGTCGCATCGGGAGGAGATAATAAACAAGCGAGATTTCGACCAAGTTCTTCATTTTTTTTCCTAAGCGTGATGCACTCTGATTTCAGAAGACGGATGCGGTGCTCGTTGTCGTTGATGTGCATGCGGATCTCCGCAGCACTGGTTTCTATACTTTCTGGCACGTCATCAGCACTCGACGGTACAATTGAGAAGAAACGACATCTTACTAGGCGGCAAGTAACCCTTTCCGAAGCAGGATAAACATGTCACTCCTCGCTCCATCGGTGTGAAAAGATTCGCGTCTGGGATGCAGAGAGAATTGTTGAAAATTCCAGACTAGCAAGGCCAGCAAGTGTATCAGGTAGAAAAAATTCAGTGTCTCAGAATGCGATGCGACGTGGCGATGGCGAGAGTCGAGGTGAAAGAACGTTAAAGAAGAACACGGGTAATGTTCACACCATAAAAGGAGACTGTGTTGGGCGGGTCGCGCGACAGTTTCCGAAGTCATGACAGTCACAAAGATACTGAAAGGAGAACCTCTGCAGCAAAATTACCAATTCTGACACTCAAACATACAATAATATGAGGTTAAAATATGCTGATTCACTGCAAATGTTTCTACAATTCTCTGTATATTTTTTACACATATATCCGTAGATGATCTTCCTGGTCGAATCGCGCATCCCAGTGATCCGTAATGTATGGGAGGTCTTCTGACGGCGGCTTTCATTCACTGTTTCCGTACGGAGGATAAATGTGGTCAGGCCTTGGGCCATTGATGGGCTCCATTTCGTAAAGCAAAATTCCAGTTGGACAAGTTCCGGCGTAGAAGCAAGGATACTCCGAAATTGGGTGTTCATATCGGAGTTATCGATATGCAGAAGTCGGAGAGAGCATTGAGAAGAGTGATCAGCTCTTTGATGTCCCGGTCGATATGCGGTAACGAACGAGTGGCGGTCAAAGATATCAACTGAGGACATTCTACATTTTCAACATAAAGCTGGAAGAGGTAGTGAGCGATTTCAATTCAGCATGGACTATTTTCGAAGTGCGACGTTTTGAGATGAGGAGACACAGAGAGTATTTGTGTGAACATCCTAGAACGACCTTCCTTTGCGCGAATGTCCGTCAAGGATGTTATCTGAAACCATGGAAGGTCTACAACATTCCCAACACCAAGGCCATCGAAAGAGACCTCCGTCAAGGCTTCTGCTGCTTTTAATGCCTTTACCAAAGGCAAACGGACACCCGGGGCACGCGAGGTGAGGTGTCCATGATGAACCTCTACCTGGGGTACGCCAATGTGTTATTTCGACCGACGCGGAATTTTTCCTTCTACCACATCGACCCTCTGGATCAATTCAGAAGGAACGAAGGCTACAAAACTGTTCTATCTCTTCGACTCTCCTATGACGATTTGAAAGAGCCGTTTGACGGTTCTCTTTGTCGGGATATCCACCTTAACCCTGGAAACATGGAACACAATATTGAGATCTGGTTGGCTTGAGCGAAAGAGTATGATGGATAAAAGTTAACCGTGATCCTCTCTAAGGATTGAGACTTTACCGGAGACATGGTGATGTGCTTGGTAACGGCTAAGTGACTAAGAGAAGTGAATGAGGAATGAACTCTCAATCACCAACACCTAACCACTCAATACACAATCACCAAATACAGTTGAGGT